TCTCTCTCTCTCTCTCTCTCTCTCTCTCTCTCCCCTCTCCCCCCCAACCCTCTTTTTGTGGTACTGGGGGTTAAACTCAGGACCTTGCGCTTGCCAGGTGTGGCACCACTGAGCTGCAACCCGGACCACTAATTGGTTTTCTTTCAGTTCAGTTTAGTTCAAGAGGGAATACTTTCTGAACCTGGCCCTAAATCAAAGCTGTGCCTTTTAGGGGAGTAATGTCAACATTATTACCCAGTGGTGGCTCGGGATCTGAAGGATTGGTCTTTCTTACTTGAGGGCTAGAGTTACGGGTTGTGTCTAGATGTAACCCCACCCCCCCACCCCACCCCCGACAGCCTCATGCAGTCATAGATGGAGCTTTTCAAAGGGCTGGATCTAGGGTGTGTGATGCTAGTATTAAGGATGTAATTCTGGGATTAAAGATGACATGCTGGGATTAAGGGTGCCCCATCCTGAATATGAATAAGAGTGGGTAGCCTGGATGGAATTTAAGGGACAGAAAGAGGGCTTCTGGCATCACTTGCTACTTCTTTGTGACTTTTGATTGCTTTGCTGCTTTCTGCTGGCCATGAACTGTTTCTTCTCTGTCATACCCCTCTGCCTTGGAGCCAGCCAACTATGGACTGAAACCTCTACAAACTGTGAGCCAAATAACCCTTTCCTCCTTTAACTTTGAGTGTGGGGTATTTTGTCTCCCTAATGAGAAAAGTAACTAAAGACAGGCAGGTATTTGTAATTTGCCCTGGACTAAAGTGTGAGAAACCTGGAATGTAGCCATTTTTCTGCCTGGAGCCAATAAGCTCTGGGAATTGAGCCCCTAACCTGATTTTCTTCTTTGTGGAATAGACTCTACTACATTTTTTTGTGAAGACTAAATGAGAACACCTATGAAAATATCTTGAAAACCATAAAACTTAAAATACTGGCAGCTATTGTCAATTTTACCATGAAAAACATTTTACAGAAGCTGAATGGTTTTCTCTGGTGATCAAAGAGATTTATTTTATTAGAGCTTTTCTCTAATGTGAGGCAGGAAATGTCATTAATGTAGTCTACTGTGAGTTGTGGAACAAGATAAATTTAAGTTAAAATTTGCAAGAAAGTAGCCTAAGAAAGAAACAGAATGTGTAACTTCACATTCAGTTTTCAAGTTCTGGGCAGGCAGAACCTAAAAGTCAGGGCTGTGGTTGGGCTTCCAGTAGGTCCCCAGGTACCCTTCATAGATTGGGAAAACAGAATCTGTGTAATCAAGAGACCTGTACAAGCTCTGTTTGTATTTTTACTGCTTGGGTCTACCTGTTTCTTACAATTTGGGGGAATAAAAAAATAGCTCACCCAACAAAGAGAATTAGTTACTGTGTGCCAGCTACCTTGTGTTATAATCAAATGTCTCTTTGGAGTTCCCATCACAGCTTCTTAGTATTACAAAAAGTCCCCTGACCCTGAAAATATGATGATGTATTATGTGACAACTTACCATCTTTTTAATCACTTCCTTGGCCACCCACTCAGCCAATTTTTTTTTGTACCAGGGATTGAACTCAGGGCCTTTCGCTCGTGAGGCAGGTGACAGCACCACTGAGCTAAATCCCCCCCCCCGCCCCCAATTTTTTATTTCAGCCAGGTCTTGCTTCTCAAGCTTTTCAAGAACCCTGGTTTGACAGACACATGATGTACATTTACTGAGGGCATTTACAGGCATTTAAAATCTCTAAAATGTCAAACCCGTACAAGAAAGCCATATCCTTTAAGAGCTGAAATTTGCAACCTTCTTAATTATAAGAAGTAGATACAGATGGGAAAAGTGATTTAACACTGAATTTATCCCACAGTTCAAAGAGTTGCTGCTTTGCACAGAAGAGATGGTGAGGGTAGAAGGGGGCCAAAGAACATTTACATAGGCCTGGTAAATAATTTGATGGTAGCCCTATCCCTCCTTTTGAAAAGATTCTACTTCCAAGGCAAGGACAATGTAACATAACAGTATTTCCACAAATTGTCAGGTCCCAATAATCGTGAAAGAATATTTATTAAACACTGCCCGCAAAAGCCTATATTTGGAATTCGTTAGGTCTGGGATGGGGATCTAGGAATATGTTTTTGTTTTTTGTTTTTGGTACCAGGGATCGAACTCTGCACTTTGAGCTTTCGAGGAAGGCACTAGAACCACTGAGCTAAATCCCCGCCCGGAATATGGGTTTTAGTTACTCATTTTGACTTTTGCTTTTTGAGACAAGGTGTCTCCTTGTAATCCAGGCTGGCTGTGAACTATGTAGCTTCCAGATTGAAGCAGGAAACAGCGAGGACCCCGGACAGACAACTCTTTAACGCTAAGATAGGAGCAGAGCGGCTTTTAATGATCCCAGTGACTCCTGTCAGTCTCCAGAGCCCCAAATAGAAATTTGCACTTCCTTTATACCTCTTTACCTCTTTTTACCTCTACAAAGCTTAATTCCATTGGAGTTTCCCTGGGAATCCAGCAAGGAGGATTTACACAAAGCAGAGCAGTGGTGGTGGTGGTGGTGGGGAAGCAAAGAGTTCTGGCAGGACTTTCTGAGTCCATTTTCCTCCTTTGATGACACATTGCATAAGTTGTCATGGCTACTCAGGTACATTCTACAAAGAGTATAGTTACGTACTTAACCCATAGTTGCCTGATAACACAATTAACTCATAGTTGTCCAATTCCATATGGGGGGTTGTCTCCTCTCAGGATTTCAGGGTTGGCCACCAAGCCTGGTTTTGGAAGTGTGTTTTAGAAGCACTATAGGGTAAGCGATTCTTCCAAGTTTGCACTTGAGCTATAAAGGGTAGTTATCCCACCCCTACTATACCCACTCAGATTAGATCCCTGCCCTTGATATGCAAAAGTAGATCTTTTTATTTATATAGAGATGTTTCCTTTTTTTCCTCTTTTACTTGTCACTCCTAAGCTAGTCGGAGTGGCTTTCCCCTGTCCATTTAGGGAAAGACTTCTGCTCAGAGACTAAGATCTACCCAAGATCCTGCAGGTCAAGGGCTACGCCTAGGTCCGGCGTCTGGGCACTCCCGTGCCACGCCCTCATTGGCAGGAAGTTCCCTCGCCCGAGAGACCTCAGCTCGCCACGCCAGCCAGTTCCGAGTCCGAACCGCCCAGGGGGCGGGACGGGGGTGGGGTGGGACGGCGGCGGGGCGGGGCCTCCTGGCGCTGAGGTCCGCCTGGCGGCCTGTGGCGCAGGAGGAAGTCCCAGGCCGCGCGGGAATCAGGGGGTGGGGGACAATGGGCCAGTTACTGGTGCGTCACGAGGGAGTTCCTTAAAGGGGAAGTGAGCGGGCCTCGGAGCCGACGTGGGTTGCGGTGTTCGTCCGGGGAGGTCCCCACGCTTCAAAATAATGCCCGCGGCGACCGCGCAACCATGCAATGGCGAGCGCTCGTCCTGGGGCTGGTGCTCCTCCGGCTCGGGCTCCACGGAGTGCTGTGGCTCGTCTTTGGGCTTGGGCCCAGCATGGGCTTCTACCAGCGCTTTCCGCTCAGCTTCGGCTTCCAGCGCCTGAGGGGCTCCGACGGGCTCGCGTCTGCCCGCTCCGGGGCCGCGGGCCAGCAGGGGACGCCCGGGGGGCCGTCGTGGCTGCAGCCGCTGGTGGTCGGGGCTGCGGCCGGCGGGCCCCAGGCTCCTCGGCGGCCCAGCCCGGGCGTGTGCGGCCCGGCGCCCTGGGGCTACGCGCTGGGCAGCTGGGACTGCGGCCCGGACGAGTACGAGAAGCGCTACAGCGGCGCATTCCCGCCGCAACTGCGGGCCCAGATGCGCGATCTGGCGCGGGGCATGTTCGTCTTTGGCTACGACAACTACATGGCCCACGCCTTTCCCCAGGACGAGCTCAACCCCATCCACTGCCGCGGCCGGGGGCCGGACCGCGGGGACCCGTGAGTAGCCTGCGCGCCCCTCGCAATGCCTTCTGTCCCCGGGATGCTAGCGCCTTTAAGGTCTGAGGAGGGCCTTGTGGTTCGCCCCATACCTTGGCCGGCTGCCTTCTGAGATCTCCCAGGGCTTGAGGTACGTGGGTGGGCCGGTGGAAGACTCTAAATTTAAGAGAGCTGTTCTGATCCTTGTCTTAACACAGATGGGGAAACTGAGGCCCAGAGGCCGGAAGGGACAGTGAGTGCCGAAGCCTGGCTTGAAAAGGGGGGTTTAGACCCCTCTCCTCCAGACGGACACATTAGCTAAATGAAGTTTGTACTTAATTTGCTTCCCTGTGAACGCAGTTTTAGAACGAGCCCTCCCCCTTTCTAATCAGAGTGCCACACCCAGGTCTTTTTAATATAAAAATTAAAGAGTTGATTCCTAGAAAGGACTTCTGAGCTATCCGGGGAGGTGGAGGCATAGAGATAATAGGTTTTATCTCCTTGCTGGGGGGTGTTTCTTTAGCGAGGGAGACTTAGATGGGAGGAAGGGAGGCTGTCTGGCCCAGATTTGGGAGTTAGATACTCGCAGTATGGTTTCTTAGGCTCTGAATACACGTTCATCATTACCGTTTGCCGTGTCCCGTGAGTACCATTCTGGTGGCAGGGCCTTCATGGAAGGTCAGTCAGCCCTCTGCGTTATTTGTGAAGGCAGAGCTGCAGGATTCACTGTTGGAGATTTAAAAGTCCAAGAGGGCAGCACACCCAATTTAGGTCCTCCTCCCAGGAAGGGCAGTGTATTGCCACTGACCGACCCTGTTAGGCTGGATAGGTGACTGTTTCTGCGTTTCCCTCCCCCTTAGGTAGGCGTGGAAGAGTTGGATTGCTCAGTGCTTTGCCACGCTCCTCTAGTGGTAAGCAATGGAATTCAGTGGTTAAGTTCTAAAAAGGAAGACCACATAGAATATTGTAAAGAGTTATTGACAAATTCATGTCTTAATTTGCTGTGTGACAGCATGATTTTTAGTAAAGCAAGGGCACGTCCCAGGCTAATTTTAAAGGACTGGGTCTTTCCAAAATTGTAGGAAACTGATAGTTATTTTTCTTTCTCAACTATATTGGTCTGTTTACGTATAAATGTTCCCCCCCCAGCTTTATTTAGCTGGGATAAATTTAAGTTTTTGTTTAAAAACTTTCTTTAAACATTTTTTTGTTTTAAAAACTTTTTTCCAAATTGTAGAAATGAGTTGTCTTGCTTAACTATAGGGAACTTTTATGCCTATAAATGTATTTTCTTTCAATCGCAATGTTTTTTTGAGAGAATAGACTTCTTTAATTTGGGGGGAGGGAGCCCAAATTTCCACGTTATTTTTAATTCCTTTCCTGCCACCTCCTGCCATCTGTCCATGAATTATTTGCACAGTTGCAGTCAAAGTGTGTGTACATATTTTACATCTTAATGGTATTGTTTTCTCAGCAATATTCATAGTATTTCAAGAAGGGGAGAGTACCTTAAATGCCCAGATTCTGTCTCACAGATTGTTTCTCAGATTTCCTTTCACCAGGCAGACCTAAGGCAAACAGTTTAATGAGGAAATTGTGATAACACTTTCCATCATAATTATAATAGTCTGGAAGATGAGTTGATGGCCTTTTAATGTTTTTCTGAATGAAACTTAATCTTCTAGAGCATTGGGAGTCTCCCTCATCATCAAGGTGCGGTGGTGGTGGTTGATCATGAGTGAAATAGGCCTTTATTTCACGGTAAAGTCTGTGATGGGTGTTTTAGTTGGGTTATTCAGTGGCAGTCTGTGTAAATTAAGGTTAAGTTGTTTTGAGACAGATTATCCTTGGAAAGGTTGTGTTAGAAATATTGGGGTGGAGGGATGGCATTTGGCTTTTTGGTTGGTAAAGCAAAGAGCTCTGGAGTTACGTGGCCTTGGGTAGAATGGAAAGGTTAATTTTTCATTACTCCTCTTTAACTCTTACCATACTTTGGTATTTTCCAGGAAAATTTAGAACCTAAGCTTTGTCATGCTGGCTCTGAAACATTAGGGCGCATTTATATCCCCAAATAAATAACCTGAATTAAAAATTGTTCAGATTTCTTTATTTTTATTTTCTTTTGTGGTGTTGGAGATTGATCCCAGGGAGTGCTGAGCTTCATCCTCACCTTACCCCACCCCCTTTTTGTGGTAATTGAACTCAGGGCTTCCCACTGAGCTACATCCCCCTTTGAGACAGGGTCTCACTAAGTCTGTAAATTATCCAGGCTGAGCTCCACCTTGAGAGCCTCTTGCCTCAGCTTCCTAGAGTACTAGGATTACAGGTGTGTGCCACTTATTTTTATTTTGATACATAGTCTTGCTAAGTTGTCACAGCTGGCTCTTTCACTTTCTGAGTAGCTGGGTTTACATGTATATACCACCATGCCTGACTCCCAGGTTTTGAAGAACAAATGTATTCTCATGATTGTTATCAAATTGTCTTCTAATGATTTTTTTAAAGAATAGTGAAATCACCAAGATAATTTTATGTAAGAGGTATAGAAACAAAATATGGATACTCAAGATGTGTATCTTTCCTTTTTAGTTACATTGACTTGAGATTTATCTTGCCTGTCTTGATGGGGGTAGATGTCCCATAGAGAGTTAACCTGAAGTAAATAAAACCTCAACACTTTAAAAATAGCATATCTTTCTGTGTAGCTACGGATTGTTATGCAAAATCAATTCTCACATCCCCACTTAGGGTTGGAAACTCCAAATTCAAAAATATCTTTGAGGGCTGGGGATTTAGCTCCAGTGGTTCTGCCGCCTGCCTTGCAAGTTCAAGGACCCAAGTTCGATCCCCGGTATCAAAAAAAAATTTCTTTGAGTAAATTTGGATAATTTGTTTTAATAGTACTGTGAATGATAACTATAAATTCAGGCCTTTATACATATAACTTTTCTCACTTTTCAACTATGTTGTTTTTAAAACAAAAAAGCAAATATCAAATGAACAAGCCAAATACTGTATTGGCCTCTCAACTGGCTAGTTTCTATCTGCTCCTAGTTTAAGATGGCTTCTTCCTGAATCCTGTTTCAGAATCTGTTCTCTTTTAGAATCAGGCTCAAGTCTTTTTTTTTTTTTTCTTTCTGTATCACCACCGAAGGGACTGTTTGAAGCTGATTCTTGACTTCCTCAGTTCTCCTTTTGGTTCCTTTCTTTTGAGCTGCTATTCTACAGTTTAGCATTGCCTGAGAATTGAGTACTATTTTGTACTCATTTGTACTCACCTTCATTTCCCTTTGTCTTCCTCAGATTACCAATCCCTTGAATACAGGGTTTCTCTTTTTATCTGTCTACCCACATAGCACCAGTATATTTCTGAACAGCTGTTAACCCATTGACTATATGTGGGATTGTTTTTTAACACATTTGTTTGATTCTGTTAGCTGCATAGTTGTTTTTTTTTGAAACAGGATCTCACTATGTGGTTCAGCCTGGCCTTGAACTCACTGTGTAGCTCAGAGTGGTCTTGAACTCACAGCAAACCTCCTGCCTCAGCCTCCCAACTGCTGGGATCACAGGCATGCGCTCAGAGGACATAGTTTTAAGGTAGTTCTTAGATTGAAATGTTTAAGAATTTTTAGGTGAGATTGAATTTAACAAGAATATCTAAAGAAGTCCACAGTCTTACCTGCATAATAAGCTCACAAATGGAATCAAGAATCATGAGAATTTCATACTGTGAAACCAGGAAGATTTTATAGTGTCACCTCACCCCCCCTTTTTTGGTTCCCCCTTTTTCATTTTCTCTCTCTTAAAAGAATGTATAGCAATTGTCTTAGTTACTTTTCTCTTGTTGCTGAGACAAAATACCTGACATCCAAAGTCAAAGGGGAAAGGTTATTAGCTCACAGTTTGTAGAGGTTCCAGTCCATAATCAGCTGGCTCCAAGGCAGGGTGGCACATGGCAGAGGGACAACAGTTCATGGTAGTGGGAGACAGTAAAAGCAAGGGACAGGACAAGCCTTTTTCTGTCCCTGATACTGTATTCAGGCTACCTGGATTAGGGTGGTGCTAAACTGAATCAGTGTACTGATTTAGTAATCACACATCCTTAATCCCAGCATCATACACTCTAGATTCACCCACGTATGACTGCATGAGGCTTTAGGGGCACATCTAGACCCAAACCATAATAGCAGTTATGTAGTAGAAAGGAATTAAAAGTGTTCTAGTGAACATTAAGAGCTTTGAAAGTGTTTTCATTTGATTGGAGTAGAAAGAAGAAACCATGATGGGTTTGTGTGTTGGTGATTTTTATTTTTTAAACAGTATTTTTTTTGGTACCGGGGATCAAACTCAGGACCTTGCACTTTGGAGGCAGGTATGGCACCGAGCTAAATCCCCAGGCCCTTTAAACAGTTTTTATACATAGTTTAGGCTGGCCTTGAACTCAATTATTTTACCCCAGGCTGGCCTCGAACTTGCAGTGATCCTCCTGCCTCAGCCTCCCAAGTTCTGGGATTACGGACATGTGCCACCATGCCTGGCTTCTCCGTGATGGTTATTTCAAATACTTTTATTTTTGCTGTAGCAACTCTAATCAGTTGTTTTTACAATTTGGGCATTATATTGAGAAGTTATATTGTTTTGTTTTATGTTGCAGTGCTGGATTTGGTACCCAGACTTCAGGCATACTAGGCAAGCACTCCATGACTGAGCCATATCTAGCCCTTGAGAAGGATTTAAAATTGGATTTATTTTAGTTACAAATTAAAAGAAAGAACGCAATAAAACATGGGAAGGAGTATAGTGCTCAAAATTACTGGTATCTTCAGTGGGGTTGTGTAGGTGAGGGGGAGTGCAACACATGCCACAGAGTGTAACTCAGGAGAAGGTAGTAGCATGTAGTTTGTTATTTGTCTAGTGTGGATGCTACTTAGGTGATGCAGGAACTATTTTCTGTTGAAGTGGGTAATTGGAGCCCCCTCTGTTTTGGGGCAGCAAAACAGTGTTGTTGAGGGCTGGGGATTTAGCTCAGTGGTGCTGTGACCTGCCTCTCAAGCACAAGGTCCTGAGTTTGAATCCCTGGTACCAGAAAAACAAAAAACAAACAATGTTGTTGAATATTTATCCTTTTTTTTTTTTGATACTGGGGATTGAACTCAGGACCTCATGCTTGCAAGGCAGGCAGCGCAACCACTGAGCTAAATCCCCAGCCCATGTTGTTGAACATTTAAACCCAGCAGAATGTTCTTCAGTTGATAGAACTGAGCTTGAGGGTTTCCTGACTGCTTTGACCCCCTCCTCCAACCCTTTTCTTTTTATCCTTTCTGGCTGGCATTCCCCTTGAGAGGCATATTTGAATCTGTAGTTCTTGCTTGGAAAGGACCTTTTTCTCTGAGATGAATTTATTTAGAAAGAGTAAACAGATGGGTGTAGTCCCAGCACTTTGAGAGACAAGGCAGAATGATTGCATGTTTGAGCCTAGCCTAGGCAGTTTAGGAACTTGGTTGCGACCCTGTCTCAAAATAAAAAGAGGGCTGGGGATGTAGTTCAGTGTGAAAGTCTTGGGTTTAATCTCCAGTACTGCGAAAAAAAGAGTCAATAGAAGTAGGTACAATTTTCCAGCCATGCTGCTTGCTGACTTTATAGCTTGTGCTGGATAAGATGACTCTAGTTTCTAGATGGCCCCCTCTATAAAGCTTTTTATTGTTTAAAAAATTAAATTTATTGATACAATTTAGATACACATAATGATCACATTAATCATACGGTATTTATACTTGTACATGATATATCTTAATTCTTATTTGTTTTCCCATTCCCCTCCCCTCCCTTTAACCCTTCTTCCCCTATTTACAAAAGCTTTGTTTCTATTTTGTCTTTCTTTTCTCATATTTTCCCTTTTCCTTCTTTCCCCCCTTCCCCCTTCCTAGTGCCCCTTCCCATTTGAACTTTTGTCTTCCTATTTCACATTATCTACTATACATTTTGGTCTTTTTTGTTTGTTTGTTGTTTTTTGGGGTTTTTTTTTGTTGTTGTTGTTACCAGGAATCCAACTCTGGACGTTGTGCTTGCCAGGCAGGTGCTGTGCCTCTGAGCTACATCCCCAGACCCATTTTGGTCCTTTTTTACACTTTCAGTTTCTCACAGCAGAGAAACAATGCAATGTTTACACTGTAAAGGTTGTTTAAAAATGTATATAAAATTTTAGTACAAATTCTTTGTCCTAGATTAAGTGACAATACAGAGTGGAACAGGGGGCCCCAGGATTTAGCTCAGTGGTTCTGCCGCCTGCCTTGCAAGCGCAAGGACCTGAGTTTGATCCCTGTACCAAAAACAAAACAAACAGAGTGTAACAGGGCCACTGGAAAATTCAAATAAGATCCCATGCTGAAGCTGTTTATGCTTGTTTCTTCCCTGGAAGGCTGGTTTTGCTCCAGCTGAGGTCAGTAGGAGGACTTTCAGAATCTAGCAAGCCATAGAGAGAAGCTGTCAGAAACTTCTCATAAGGAAGAAGATGAGAAAGCATCAGGATGATACATGATGCAAATAAAGTGCTTCAGGGATAAAATGGAAGTTGTCAGACATGGATACATTTGTTGCAAATGAAACTACTGAAAATTTTTAAACATTTGTCTTATTTCTTCTTTTACTATCATTTTTTCCAAGTTTCTGCAGTTGTTATCTGGGTTTGTGAGAATGGGATAAAGAAATAAATGAAGCTCTCAATTTGAATTTCTAAAGTAGCTCTGCTTTATTATTTTCAATACTCTCCTATCCTTCCTTCCCAGATATATTAATTTTTGTTGTCTTCATAGTTTGTGTTATAAGGATATATCAGAGTGACTGAAGAGCTTTACCCTCTGCATCCTCTGTTGATCTCAGGATGGAACCTAGGACCTCATTGGTGCTATGAAAGCGCTCTTCCACTGAGCTACATAGCCAGCCTCTGTAGTTTTGTTCATCTCTTCTCTTTCTGTTTATCTCTTTCTTTCTCTTTTCTTTTCTTTTTCTTTCTTTTTAAAAAAATTAGTATGCTTGTGATACATACTAAATATGCTTATATGGGGAATTGGTACATACACGTATCGAATCTTGATCCTTTTTACTTCCTCTTTCTCTTCCCTCCCTCCTATCTCCTCTCTGTCACATTCCCCTCCTATCTTCACAGTGCCTATTTCCCTGTTTGTAGTTGGTTTCTTGAGATTATTTCAGAATGGAAAATTGGTATTGATTATGAAGTTGGGAGGTATTAGTAATGTTGATGCAGCTCCAGTGAAAAAAGAGAGGAGAGCTTTGATTCCTGCTTTGGTTCATGTTATATAAAGACACCCCTCAGGATTAATCGAAATAATGGGGAGTCTTTGGATGAGATGTTAGTGAAAAAATGGTATAAAGAACTTTATGTATTCCCCTAATTAAAGGACAGATGAGTGGAGTTGGTACTGTACAACTGCAGGTCTTCACTTGTTAGTGTGTAATCTGCTGGAATATGTAATTACTGAATTAAAGTGTTACAAGTAGGTCCTCTGACCAGATCTCTCTTTTAGTTCATAATGATTGTGAAGTTAGAATTCTAAAGCTGGGCAGGATCGAAGTGATCATTTATGGTGATAAAACTACCTTAGAGAGGGCAAATGACTCTTACTTGGAGTCTCTTAACTTCCTGTTGAGTTCTTTCTGCTATTGTACTTTACAAGTGTGTCTGCTGTGCTGTGATGGCACTGTACTTGCAGGCACTTTAGAAACTGAAATAGAAGATCTTTGCCATACCGACCTACTCAAAGTTTCTCAATAAATGAGGATTGCTGGCAATTTTGGTTTTTAATGGGTGTTTTGATTTGTTTTTTTTCTCTTTAAAATACAGTACCTATCTTTAATTTTAACTTTATTTCTTTTTCAGTTCAAATTTGAACATCAATGACGTACTAGGGAACTATTCATTGACTCTTGTTGATGCATTGGATACACTTGCAGTAAGTGTTGTTTTAAAAAAAAAAATTAAGGTGTTTTAGAGTTGATACCCCTGTTTCCCCCTAGGAATGGTGAACCTGATAGTTTTTTAATCTTATTTTTTTGAGACAGGGTCTGGCTATGTAGTCCAGGGTAGCCTTGAACTTAACTTGCTGGATAGCCTAGGCTGGACTCACACTTTTTTTTTTTTTTTTTTTTGGTACCGGGGATTGAACTCAGGACCTTGCGCGGCGGGCGCTGGAACTACTGAGCTAAATCCCCAGCCCTGGACTCACACTCTTGATCCTCCTGCCTCTGCCTCCTCAGTGCTGGGATAACAGACATGGATTGCTGCTTCTGGCAAACTTAATACTTAAAAGCTTTGATGGCTATTGTTTATTTAAGTGAACTTTGTGGGAACAATGGGAAAAAGGTTGAAGGTTAAAAAAGAGGAAATGTGATTCTCCTTACACAACGGTGAAAAAATATATGCTCATTTTTAGGAAACCAATTCCCCCACCCCAATTTTCCATTGGTTTACTTACTAAAGGAGTCCATAGAGAATTGCCTTAATATTTACAGTTATTGCAGTTTGTATTTCAAGAATAAAAATCAGAAAGTCTCAGGGTTGCTAGATATCCTGAGGTTCCACCTAGCTGCTCGATGGCTCCCTTATGCCAGCCGTCCTCTGTGTGAAATGCTGCTCTTACTTGTAGCTTTTCCCAGCGTGCTGGGATTACAGGCATGCCTGGCTTACATCTTCATGTTATAAGTAGCAGAAGAAGGACAAGGCCCTTTGTCTAATTGGAAATCTGAGCTAGTGGATTTTCTTCTGCTAGGCTGTAGTTCAAAAGCAGTTTAGTTCCTCAGTGTCTCCTTCTGAAGTGATTACTCCTGCATTTTAGCCACTCCTGATTACTCATCCAAATGTGCCCTGACAAGTAAGTGCAGCCTATTTAGAACTAATTTGTTAAAAATATTGGAGGCTGACTCAGTCTACAAGTGTTGCTTGAAGCCTCCTAAGAGTCATATATAGGTTGAGAAAGCTTGTTTTTTTTTTTCTCTCTGACTCTTTTAATCACTATTTGTATCTTTATCTCCATGCTTGCTACTTCAGAGACCTTATCTTTGTTATTTTCTGTACTGAACTCTCCCCACCCTTCATGGTAAATGGTACATAGTAGGATTGCAAACTGTTGTTCAAAAAATGAATTTTACTAGTTCAGCATCTCCCAACACAAAGTACAATGGTATACTCCTTGAAAAGAGTTCTATTCCAAAAGGAGCTGGAGAAATTCTGTGTCCAACTGTTAGCTGTGTTAGATATCAATATTTTAAAGGCTCTGAGAAGTCATGCAGTAAAGAAACCTGTTTAATACTTCTGTCCAATCCAACTTTTCTCAATCATTTCATACCCTGGTTTCTCGGGGCTCTCAGCTATCTGACTAAAGTGCTAAATTATAAGATGTAATTAAGCATTGTTGGCTCTCTTTACCATCTGCCACTTAATCTGAGGTCATATCAACACTGCAGTAGCACTAGATATTGTTGCTGGTGAACATCTGTAAGGAAACACACCTATTTTTGTGGTTTTCATTGTAGAATATCTAGCCTTTACTGCCTTAGCACCTCACATTTACTTTTCAGATGTTACTTATGTTGAGGTTTTTCTTTTCTTTTGCTTGCATTTTAAATGGACTTTAGCAGATATGCTATGGAAAATCCTTGGGGAAGTAGTCCCCTGACCATTTTATGTAACTTGCAGCATTGTTGCATAATCTTTTTTTTTTTTTAAAAAAAAGAACTGAAAATCAGAAAAGAAACATCTGTACTTGTCTATGTTACAGCAAGTAACGATCGGCAGAAAAAAAGATGTCATAGACCAGTAAAATTAGAAAATAAAATGTGACTGAGAAAATTATTTTTTCTCGATTTTTTTTTTTTTTTTTTGTGGGTGTGTATCATTATGATGTAAGTATAGTTTTAATATTGCCATAACATTTTAAGTGGAATTAAATCATTTCCATTTAGGTTAATCAGTAAAATTTTATGCCTAAATTGCAATTTGTATAGGAGGATCCTATCTACACCCCAAATAGCAATCATAATGCCAGAACACTTTTTATAGGACATAGAGCTGGTTATTTATATAGTTTAAATGCCACTGGCTTTATGCTATGCTCCAAAAAGGTTTTGGATATCTGGATGGCAAGCAACTAGTTTAGTAAGATTTCTAGATATTTTGGTCTCCTGGGAGCCAAGCAGCCAAACACTGGATTTATTTGAAGAACGGGGAAAGTTGTATTTTTGATTCTTTAATTTTTTGATTTATTTTTACTCATCCTAGAAGTTTTAGGAACTGCAGTGTCTTTGCACATAAGTAACATCAGGCTAAACCTTCAGGGAGAGAGAAGTGGGAGGATTAGGAGTGCCATTGATTCTAGGGGGAAAGTATTTTCACAGTTTTGCCATTTGGATATAGGGTTCTTGAGTTGCAGGAAATAGGCTTGCCATTTGTCTGGAATACAGTAAGCCCTCAACTTACTAACAAGTTTCATTTTGGGAGAAGGTTCGTAAATCTGATTTTGTTCCTATGTCCAACAAAGTGAGTTTTATACACCTTTGACACAAATATACAATATAAAGCATAAAAAGACCAAACTTCTACTCACCACTGCTTTTCCTCTTGCTTCTGAACATCCTGGGCTGTGATTGAGCACTGGACTGCTGTACACTATCACACTGTACAGTAAGCACACAGCTGCACAATTGTGACAGTGTCTGGCAGGTGAACTATGTGATTTGTTTGCATCTATGTAATTCAAGGTAAATGTTTGTAAGTTGAAGACTGATTGTAGATTGTGAAAAATAACTGTGCTTTTCCACCTTTTGTGCTTCTACTCCCACAGTGATAAAACCTCATGCAGTACAGACATTTAGATGATGTGGCCAAGCTGCTGCCATCATGTTGCCTCAGTTTCATCTCAACCTGCTATAATGGTTTGTATTCTTCTTTTTAAAGATAATGGGAAATTCATCTGAGTTCCAGAAAGCAGTCAAGTTAGTGATCAACACAGTTTCATTTGACAAAGATTCTACTGTTCAAGTCTTTGAGGCCACAATAAGGTAAAATAGTACATAAAATGGGTTGAAAGCTATGTGTCTCTGTGTGTGTGTGTGCGTGTGTGTGTAGAAAAGTTCCTTTTGGTTTTCCAGACCCAAAATCGAGGTAGACAGTCCATGTAGATATTATGGGTGCAGTGTGTATTTTTCATGTTTATTTTAGTATTTATCAAAATTATAACAATTGAACACATGATAATCACATTTTGAACTGAACAAAAAGAAACATTGTTGTTTTAATGGGTGTCCCTCTAAGCAGTTTCTTGATTTCCCTTCATGGCTGGTCTTATTTTCCTGTTTTCATGCTGCTCTGGGAAAGCTTTATACATATTTCTGAAGGAAATGATTTTTTTTCTCTCTCCCCACAGAAAACCACTGTATGCCATTTTGGTGTATTTCTTTCTTAGATGTTGATCACTAACCTCCCTCTTTTTGTTAAATGTATTGGAATCATGCTTTATGTCACAGTCTACTCCAGATACATTATGTGTCTGCAGTGACACAGCTCTAAGCTGTTATCCTCTTACCTGAGTGTGTCATTTTCTCTTTATTTTCCTTTTTTCCTTCTCATACTCTTACCAGATATTGAAGTTCATCAGTTGCCTGGCAGCCAAAACTATAGAAGCTACTTAGTATTTGTTGTCTAACCTTTTTCTCTTTTTTATATGGCCAAGTCTTTTCCCCAAGTGAGACAAATCAAGAGTAATTTAATAATAGAGTAGATAATACATATTTTGAGAACAAGTAGCACACTCTATTAGTACAGTTCCGTAACCTCTATGGTTAAGATAATCAGTTAATCTTTTAAATGGTATTGTTTTCAGTAGCCTCAGATGCACGATTCCCCTTCTTTCTTTGAGTAATGCAGTGAACTAAGAATCAGTCACTTACTACAGCTAGACTTTTAAGAGACTGTTAAGTCCTTCGGACTTCAGGCAGCTCAGAGTCCATAAGAAGATGTTGCTTCTGTCATTCTGAATTAGATTGTGTGCCCTTATAAGCAACATGATTTTATTTATTTATTTGTTTGTTTGTTTGCTTGTTCTTACTGCCGTTAGGGTTCTGGGAAGCCTCCTTTCTGCCCACAGAATAATAACTGACTCTAAGCAGCCCTTTGGTGACATGACAATTAAGGACTATGATAATGAATTGTTGCACATGGCTCATGACCTGGCTGTGCGGCTCCTCCCTGCTTTTGAGAACACCAAGACCGGGATCCCTTATCCTCGGGTAGGTAGATTGGTTTTTCCCTTTGTGCTTGACAATTCACCATCTTCTGGAATTAAAACTGTTTGGTAAAAGGAAGGGGCTGAGGTAGAGGAAGAAAGTGGTATTCTTGAGATAATTTTGCCTTAAACATAATGTAAATATTTTTTAATTCATTTGGCATTTATTGATCACCTGCTGTGTGCTGGGCATGCAGTGACATAGCTGACTCAATCCTTTCCCTTAAAAAACTTGTTTCTTTGTTCAGTGTTCATAAATCTTTTACACATGTGATTTATAGCATGTGCTCACAAATAGTATGGACGATTTGTTTTCATTTCTTATTTGTGCAGATTTCCCCAAAGAGCCTCACATATGTATTAGAAGAGAGTTCAGTGAACATTCTTTTGAATGCTTCACATGACTCTTTTCAAATAAAGCCTGCACAGACCAGCAAGCTAACTGCTAATTTAAATGCAAGATCTTTGTGATATCTGATTTGTCAAGCCAGAAGTTCTCTGGAAACTTAAGTCAGCCTTTGACCTAACCAGGGAAAGAGTTATCAGACCACAGGGCCACCATGATGCAACAGGCTGTCATACTCCAGCTGAGCCTCCCTTCTCTTCCAATCTGAGGTTTGTTTATGTTTTCTGAGCAAGAGTGAGTTCATAGTGGCTTACGTAGAATTTAGAAGTGATTCCATAGCTCATTTTTTTCTTTAACCCCCAAACCTGATCATGTGTAGCCATGAAAAAAACTTGTTGGAAAGAGATGGTTTAATGAACCTGGCTTGATGGTGCATGCCTGTGCTCTCAGCTATTTGGGAAGCTAAGGCAGGAACATCACAGATTTGAAGCCAGCCTGGGGGTGTATGTAGCACAGTGTTAGAGCACTTGCTTAGCATATATAAAGGCCTTGGGTGCAATCATCAGTATTGGCAAAATCAAAACCAAAAACAGAAACAGCAGAGAGATGGTTCAGTTAATTGTATAATTGTGTTATAGTCATTCCCTCAATACTTGCTCTTCTTTTTTCACTTGCTCTTCTTAATAAGACAGGGCTCTGGTCTTATTCTCATTTGTGTTTTCTAAATTTAACTCCCATATTCATCTTGGGTATAACATTACCGACTCTCACCACAGTAAGCTTGGTTCATTAGCTGAGTGTCATATCTGTGATTTGGCCTTCAGCTCTGTGAGTTCTTGAGTTTTGCCATGAAACCTGTGACTGACTCTTCCTATTCCCAGGTGAATCTAAAGACAGGAGTTCCACCTGACAGCAATAATGAGACCTGCACAGCAGGAGCTGGTTCTCTCTTGGTGGAATTTGGGATTCTGAGTCGACTGCTGGGGGATTCCACCTTTGAATGGGTGGCTAGGCGAGCAGTGAAAGCCCTCTGGAACCTTCGGAGCAATGACACAGGATTATTAGGTGTGGTGCACTTTCTCCCACCACTGGGGCTGTGTAACATTTGGTCCCCTTTCCTTTCATCTCTGAGGGTGTCTTTCCTCTCTGTTTCTTCCTTTATACCACTGAATCTGAAAATTGTCAACTCAGAAAGAATGGTCTTCGGTGTCTGCCATAGTCAGTTTCTTTTTGTGACCTTTTGGTTAGAGTGAGACTATAGAGTTTTATGGAAAAGAATAATACTTTCGCTGTTTGAGCTCCCTTCTGATTTGGAGCCCTTGGTATATTTTACTTGAAAATTATTGTTAATGGAAATACTATAAAAAGAACTGCCTCTCAGGCAAGTTTTATTGCTTCAGTATAAAGTTCTAAATATAGGAATTTAAAGTTATCAGTGGAATAGCTTTCTCCTTTAAAAAAAAAAAGGTAGGTGTGTAGAAGTAGATTGAAAGCCCAGATTAAACTTATATTGGGGTTTTCTTTTTTTCTTTCTGAGAATGTTTGGTTAAGATATTATTGAAAAATTATTTTGGAATATTTCAAACATTAATAGTAGAAATAAGGTATTATGACTAATACCCCCATGTACTCATCATTCATCTTCAGTAATTATGTTTTGCTAATAATTCACAGTGTTTTAAAGTGGGTTTTTACCTCATATGGTTGTCTTATATTGGGATGTACTTTCTTTTTGGCAGTAAGAAGTAAAATCAGATTGGTTTTTCTAGAACCATAGGGAATTATAAAAGTTTTATACTTAGAAGTAATTTTTTGATTTTTTGGGTTCTAAAGTTTATATACCAATTTGTTGTATTTAACAGCAACAGTAGAAATAAAATCACTCAAATTATTAATTCATCACCAAGTGGTTGACTACTGTCATCACAAATTGTCAGTTTTTAATTTTCCGTGAGTCTTTTTTCTGTGTGTAGTATTGAGGATTAAAGCCACGGCCTTGTGCATGCCAAGTAAGTGCTGTAATACTGAGCTGTATCCCAAGTTCTTTTTAAAATTTTACTGTGAGATAGGATTTTGCTAAGTTGTCCAGGCTGGCCTTGAACTTGTTTAACCTTCTGCTTTAGCTCCTCCCTACCTACCCCAATAGTAGCTGCAATTTCAGGCGTATGTCACCATCCTGGCTCCATATACCCTTTTTAGCTTGGCATGTGCAACTTTTATACACTGTATTTTCAATTCTTAATATAGACAAAGATTTTTATTCTGCCTTAATTTGGCAGTTCATTCCAGGGTTTCCAAGTTGTTATCTTATTTTCATAGTAACTCTTTTTAAAAGCTACGTAGTCATCTATTAACTCTTTTTGTGGTGTTAGACACTTAGATTATTTTTCTCTCTTTTTTTTTTTCTGTTTTACAGATAATTTTCTGGTGAACAACATAAGAGTTTTTCTTTTTAAAAACATTTTTTTCAGGACAGATTATCAGCAATGACAGTACTGGGTTAAAGGCTGTGAGTACTCCTTTGGGTTTTGAAATATATTGTCAATGTAGAAAAGCAAAGTGACAAACCTACATATATATATATATATATATTTTTTTTTTGCATTAAATATTTATCTTCATTTTGTGTTGGTGGCTAAATACTATATAGTCAAAAAGATCTGTAGGCTGTCCAAGTTATGATAGGACTCAAAAATCTTAGGGTCAGTGTTTCACTCCTTTTCTTACTTATTTAAGGATAGAGGTGCTGAGAAGTGGCGTTGAAGTAGGCTATCTGTCTCCTTCCATGATGATCGGGATCTGAAGTACCTTTTTTTGTCCCTGCAGGCAATGTTGTGAATATCCAGACGGGCCATTGGGTTGGAAAGCAGAGTGGCTTGGGTGCTGGGCTGGACTCCTTCTATGAATACCTTTTAAAGTCTTACATTCTCTTTGGAGAAAAAGAAGACCTACAAATGTTTAATGCTGCGTATCAGAGCATTCAGAACTACTTAAGAAGAGGGTATGTCTCTTTAACATCACTTCTATGACCTTATAAAGCAAATAATTTGCATTCTGAAATGTTCTTGTTTTGTTTTGTTTTTTGAGACAAAGTCTCACTATGTAGTGTAGGCTGGCCTTGAGCTCACAGAAATCCTCCTGCCTTAGGCTCCTGAGTGCTGATATTTCAGATGTGTGCCACCACACCTGGCTAATGTTCCTATTTTTCTTTTTTTTTTTGGTACTGGGGATTGAACTCAGGACCTCTCACTTGCCAGGCAGGCACTGTGCCACTGAGCTAAATCCCCGGCCCTATTTTTCTTAACATAAACTCCCAAGGTCTGTTTGTCTCTTCTGCCCTCAACATAATTGTCAGTCATTTGAGGTTGAAGATCTGCGTTAGCTCTTTGTTATGTGCCATAGTTCCCCAGAACTGAGTGGCTTAAAATAAAAAACATGACCTCATAACAGTTTCTAAAACACAGAAATAACAGAGATTCTTGTCCTAGGTTCTGGCCTAAGATCTCACATGAGGTTGCTGTCAAGCTGTTGACCAAGGCCGTGGCCATGGCAGAGGTAGAGTAGGGCTGGTGGATCCCCTTCCAGGCTCTCTCATCATGGCTGGGAGTCTTCAGTTCCTTGCTGGCTGTTGGCTGGAGGTCTCAGATCTTTGTCACAGAGACCTCTTCATAGGTAGCTCATGGCAGCTGGCTTTTCCCAAAGTGAGTTATCTGAGAGAGACAGAAAATAGTCTTGCGATTATATGTCATGACATAGTTTGACGATTATATGTTAACTTCTCTGCCAGACTGCTGGTCACCCACACCAGCCTGATATACAAAAAGTGCCTACCAGAAGGTACAGGTCATTGGGGGCCACTTTGGAGACTTGTTATAAGAGGAAATGACACATCCCTGTGTTTAATTGTGGCTTTAATTGTAGATGGAGCTGTACTATAGGACAGTTACTGAATTTTTGTGCTTTTTCTTTCCAAAGGATTGTTAAGATTGATCTTTATACCTCATGAGAAAGGCCTTTTCCACATTGTTTCCTTTCTAAGCTTATTTAAAAGAACATTACTAGCTGGGGATTTAGCTCAGTGGTACTGCACCTACCTGGCAAACGCAGAGTCCTGAGTTTGGTCCCCGGCATGGGGAGAAAAAAAAGGCTGAGGCAGAGAGGGTTTCCACAAGTTTGAGGCCAGCCTGGGCTAGTGAGTTCAAAGCCAGTGTGAACTACATAGCAAAACCCTGTCTCAAACCAAACCAAACCAAACCAAAAAAGTTACTTGATATTCTCAGTTGTGCATTCAGAATAGCACTAGGGAGAGTGCACAAAGAGAGTCATTCAAAGCTACAGTGGCTTCTACCCTGATGTCACTCTTCCCTAGATGTTTCTTTTTATGTGTTTATATAGTAAATGGGCAATGCAAGGTGTGTGTTCTGAGCTTTCTGCTTGGCAAGATTTTCCTGGATCCATTTCTACATTAGCCATTGTAGGAACTACTTGTGTGAGTGCTATATTTAAGCAAGAGGGCTTTTGGTTAGAGCTAAGTCATTTTTGCTTTTCAGAGCCCCAAACTAAATTAAGTAGTAATTCCCAATTACTGCTCCATTGGGGTATGTCTCTTTAACATTATTTCTTTCGTTTGCATTCTGAAAATGTAGGGAACAGGAAGGGGACCTTACCAGGACCTCTACCGTGGGTCCTGGCCTGTGAGCCTCTACAGCACGGCACAAGGTGAATTAAAGAACAAACCGGAAATGAGACTTAAGAGTGATGAGGCTGGATCTTGGGACCTTGTCATTGTTTGTTGCTGATGCCAACAAAGACAAAGGCCCCCAAGAGCATCCAGTATTTATTGAATACAGTGGTGGGGAGGAATAGGGAGCAGGGTATGCTTAGAAGGCATCTAGTGAAATACTGCCGAACACCTGGCATGATGGTGCCAGGCAGGGCTGTTAGGGAGTAAGCGGTGTTTATATGCTTGGATAGAACAAACCGGTACTGGGACTGGGTGCAATTAGGAAGTAACCCATCGGATCAGAGAAGCCATAATTCAAGGGAAAGGATTTTAAGTGGGGTCATGCTGACCTCTGCTGTATATGTCAGCAGAGCCCTGCCACTTCACAGACCAAGACTTAGGCCTCGGTGACAGCCATTAGCAAAGGTGCAGTGCTAGCCCAACTCTGCCACCTGACATCTCCATTTGAGTCATGTAAGGCTTTGGTCTAACTTCTGATACAAAATAATATAGCCAAATTAAGGGAGGCAAGAAGCATGTGCCACTCATAGCCTGCTAGTACTGGGCAGGGATGTCTGCTACATGAAATGTTCTGTTCTGCTCTGTTCTTTTCTTTCTCTCTCTCTTTCTCTTTCTTTTTTTCTTTCCTTCCCTACTCATCCCCCTCCCCACCCCCACCACCTCTCTTTTTTGAGACAGGGTCTTTCTATGTAGTGCAAGCTGGCCTTAAACTCACTATGTATCCCGGGCTGGCCTCAAACGCATAGTGATCCTGCTCAAGGATCCTACAATAATGTATTTCTTTAGGCCCATATTACAGAACCATGTAATTATACTAGAAAAGAGACTCTTTTTGTGCAGAAAATACCAGGTTTCCTTGCTGAGGTCAAATCTAACGCAGACCACACTGTATACAGTGGTACCTCAGTTCAGAAACTTAATTCTTTCCACAATTCTGGTCACAAACCAATTTGGTTGTGAACTGAATCCAATTCAATTGTTAGGTTCCTTATGGGGAAATTTGATTTGTTTGCAGCTAATTCAGTTTGTGACCAGAATCATGGAAAGAATTAAGTTTGTGAACCAAGGTACCACTGTACCAGTTCTATTATGTAGCTGTAATTTTAAATCTGAATGTCAACATGATTTCCACAGAACACAACAAAATACTGAAATATTACAAAAACGTCAGTTTAGAACTTTTCTTCTGTGGTAGACGTTTTCTTCTGTTAGTGTTTAGTGTAGACAGGTAAAGGCAGTCTTTTCTGTAGAGGTTTAAAGAGGATAAAAATTAATGTTGATTCCATTTAAATGAAACTACCAGGTGCTTCTAGAGTATTAGGGGTAGAGCTCTGTTAGGAGCTTTCTTTTTGCGGTTGCATATGCTTTTTTTTTCTTTTTTTTGGCTCCCAAGATCGAACTCAGGACCTTCACTTGTGAGGCAGGTGTGGTGCCACTGAGCTAGACCCTGTGCTATTTGTATTTGTAGGCGGGAAGCCTGTAATGAAGGAGAAGGAGACCCCCCACTCTATGTCAATGTGAACATGTTCAGTGGGCAGCTCATGAATACCTGGATCGACTCTCTGCAGGCATTCTTCCCTGGACTGCAGGTATTTTGCAATCAGATTTGCAAAGAATAAATAGTCATTAGAATGAGATTTTTATTTTCCTCCTTTTTCTGTGATACTCGAGGCTTTTCTAGCTCCTTTGGATTGGGGAGGTTAATAGCACAACATACCAGGATTATTCTGTTAGTGAAATCAGTTCCTAGAATATTGAACAGACCTATACTATATTAGTGAAAAATCATATTTGAAAATAACTGCAGGTGATGGTTGGATAATCCATCTTTGTTATGTGCTTGTTTGTGAGTACATTTAACCTCTTCTGTGCAGTTCATGTAAATATGTCATTGATGGTCAGATACAAAAGGCATCTGTTTGTGTGGGTTATCACTGTTTGTGTTGTTTTTTTGAGATAGGGTCTTACTGTATAGTTTAGGCTGGCCTTGAACTCACTGTGTAGCCCAGGCTGGCCTCGAACTCACAGTGATCCTCCTGCCTCATGTGTGTGGCACCATGCCCGGCATGGGTTGTCACTTTTGACTTGGTTTTATCCCCAGCTCTGTTAGATAAGAACCAGAGGGTGAAAAAGAGCCTAACATTTGTGTCACTTTTTGAAACTCAGCCTGATGACCCATGTCTTTTCCTTAGGTTCTAATAGGAGATGTGGAAGATGCCATCTGCCTTCATGCCTTTTATTATGCCATATGGAAACGATATGGGGCCCTTCCTGAGAGGTATAACTGGCAGCTACAGGCCCCTGATGTTCTCTTCTACCCGCTGAGGCCAGAATTAGTAGAATCTACATATCTCCTCTATCAGGTACTAGAGCTCTTTAAACAATAGTTTGTCATTTTCATAGTGACTTAATAGTTATCACCTGTCTGGAGTCTTGTTAATGTTCAGTGTCATTCATGGTTTCGCAGGACAGAGACAGTCTCTGTAGCCAAATGTTTTTTTTCTTTTTTTTCTTTTTTGGTACTGGGAATCAAACTCAGGGCCTCTTGCTTGCCAAGCAGGCACTATGGCACTGATGTAGCCAAATGTTTTTAACCTCACATTTTGCAAAGAATTATATGTTTGCTGTAGGACTTATTGTTACATCTTTAAATATTCAGGAAAAAGATTTTACTTTCAGTGTATTCCAAATCTGTTTGACCATAGACTCTTTTAGGGGGAATGCAATTCTGTGCCAATGTGCTATGGAACCCTGGTCTAGGTAATTATTCAAACAAAAAGAAAATTCTGTTATTTATAGACGAAGCTATCTAGGATTCACATGAATGTCTTATTTTTGTTTAATGTTAAAAAATACAGTGTTCATCTTTCATGCAGTTACTCCTGTGCCTGCAGAGGGAATGTCACTTTAACTGTGAAATGTCTCCACTTAGACAACTGAAGCCACATGCATATACTTCTGTGCATACATAAATAAACACACACTGAGAGTGCTCCCCCATTCACAAATATAGCAACATAAGCTGTTCACTTACTAAGAAGCTAGCCTTTAATGCAGTTCAATAGGCCTGTGGCAGATGCCTGCAGTGGGCAAGCTTTGGCACCTGACTTTTACAAGGTCTTGTAATAGAATTAGTATTGTGCTTAGATTTACTTAGATTTAGTGATTAATTTTTTTATATAGAATTCTTGCTGTTTGCTTTTAGATGAAAAAAGGGAGAAACTTATGAAACTGGTAATGGTCTTCATGCCTAAAGAGAGACCTCATGAGCTTTAGATAACCTCTTAAGAAAGGAAGAGGTGATACTTTTATGAGTTTGTTTTGTTTTGTTGTTTTTTGAGATAAGGTGTCATTATGTAGTACCTGCTCCCTTTGAACTTACTATGTAGCCCAGGCTGGCCTCAAATTCTCAGCAGTCTTTCTGTCTTATCCTCCCACGTAAGTGCTGGGATTACAGAAATGTGCTACTGTGCCCGACCAAGGTGATCTTTTTTTTTTGGTACCGGGGATTGAACTCAGGATCTTGTGCTTACAAGGCAGAGGCAAGTGGTAGAACCACTGAGCTAAATCCCCGGCCCCTGACCAAGGTGATCTTGTGTATGGTCTGTGTATGGTCTTGTGTATGGTCTCTCTGAGCCCAGAGTTGAGTAAGGCTATGCACAATCTGAGGGTGGCATACCTGCTGTTGTCTCAGCTTTCCTCTGAAGCTTAATCCGGCTGCCCTTGGGCTTATACCTTTTTGTTTCTGTCTTGGTCTCTTCTATGTTTTCAGCTTCTTCTTCATGCAGGCTCATTTCTTAGGATCCAGAGGATTCTTCTGCTTTGCAGCTTACCCTCTGAAACTACTCCAGGCTCTTGTAACCCAGAGAAAGCCAGCATAGTGGTTATTTGCTTTTTTTGCTGCAGTTTGGCATTAAGCATGAATTAAAGTTGATCCCCCTCTTCTAAAATGTTTACAAGATAAAAGTCTTATCTTCCCAGAGAATTTTTTTTCCTAGCAAAATCACTAAGAGTATATGACAGAAGACTCGGCAACCCTACGAGTTACTAGAGAGGAAGTTGTAGAAGCTTTCTGTAGATACCATTGAGTCTTACTCCCTTTGGCTTGTCTCACAGTGGTATAATTGGAATGGGGGCAAGGTCCTGTTTCCCTTTGCCTATCTCTTCAGTTTCCAGTGAGGTTCAAGGCAAGGTAGAAACTGGTTTTGTCAGCTGAGTGAGAATGGTGTATGCCTGTAACCCTAGCATGGAGCAGGAGGATTGCAAGTTGGAGTCTTGTCTGGACAATATTGACCTCTCAAAATAAAAAATAAAAAAGGCTGGGGAATGTGGATCAGTGGTAGAATGCCCCTGGGTTTAATTCCCAGTACCATAACACACACACACACACACACACACTCTGAATAAAAATTGAATGGGGATAGAGCTTTGTGGGAGGGCCCTGGGTTTAATGCCCAGTACCGCAAAACAAAAAACCGAACAGAAACAGGATTCTCAGCTGATGGTACTGTCCAGGTGGCATTGTTTTATTTCTGACCATGGTGGGGATCAGAGCCAAAGTACATTGTTGTTCTACCTGGGAGCAGATTTCCTAACTGTGGTTTAAGTTAAATAAATTGCAGTAATGCTTTGATGCGAGCTGGCAGAGAACCTTGTCCTTCATGATCCCTTCAAGATGAAGTGAATAATCCCTGTTCTTTTTTTTGGCTGGTGACTCATCTACCTGGGGAAGCCTGCACTCCCCCCATGTTTGTTGATGGCCTGTCTTCCAGGCCCTTGTTTGATCATGTTCTCTTATGTTCTCTCTAGGCAACCAAGAATCCCTTCTACCTCCATGTAGGAATGGATATTCTGCAGAGTCTGGAGAAGTACACAAAAGTCAAGTCAGTTTTCTAAGTTTCTTTTTACTGTTGTCTATCCATGATTTTTAGTTGTTTGGAAAAATGTTATTCTAGCTTGCATTTTAATTTGTAGAAAAGGTAGATCATTAGTGGTAATTTTATAATGAAATGGTTTACTTTTGCTATAGTAAAACCTCTTCATTATAGTAGGACTCACTGGTTAACTTTGTCTTCTGTGTGAAGTTTCAGCTATGTTTGTTCCTTTTAGGTAAATTAGTTTCCTTAGTCATGTGAATAATGAATAGGGCAAAATATGGTACAGAAAACTATTAAGATGTAGAATATTCTCATTGTGATTGCTACCTAGAGAGATAACCATAGTCAGTGTTTATATATTTATAATATCTTAAATATATTTATATATGTGTATGTATATTTATGTATATATAATTATATGCTCTGTACTTCAGTTTTCTGGCGTGCTTTTGTTTTTTTACCCACCAGTATATCATAAATATATTTTTAGAAACTACTGTTTTAGGATACTCAAATAGTAAGTCAATTCTACAGGTACTGGGATTAAAAAGAAATCAGTTGTTCTAAATTTGTTGCCAATCATTTTTCTTGATGTCACGTCATGCTTTTGGTAAACACCCTCCACTGTTTTCCTTTCCAGCCTGGAGCTAACCTGGTAATTTAGGAGCCAAACCACTTTTAAAATAAATTTACAAATAACCCAGGCTAAAAATGGGATCTTCTCTGAACATCACATAGTTTATTTTTTACATGCTGTTAGATAATTTGGTTGATAACCTTCTCAATAGAATAATTATCTGACATGTATCAGCAGGGAGAAGGAACAGAGGCAGGACTAACTGGATAATTGTTTTGTAGATGTGGGTATGCCACACTACATCATGTCATAGACAAGTCCAAAGAAGATCGGATGGAGAGCTTCTTTCTCAGTGAGACCTGTAAATACTTATATCTGGTATGTGTGTGTCAAGATTAACTAAGGGCTATTTGATACAACTTAGAGAAAGCATTTTTGCCGTCTCCTACCTGACAGATATTTACTCAGCACTGCTAGACAAAGGAATATTGCTGCCTTCTTTCGTGGTTTCCAACCTTCTGCCGGAGCCATTTGTTAAGGAAACAAATTAGTGTAAACATATAGTAGTAAGCATAAAAATTAAAAGATAAGAATCAGAAATGAGCTTTTAATTAGTAACTATGCAAAGTACTTTGAAGGATCAGTAGAGGACCAGCTTTAATACTGTGTCAGGGAGGCTTCTCTGAGGAGGAGAGCGATTTTTCTTCTCTACCCAATACTTGGCTCATCCCTTTTCCCCTTTTCCTGTGGTGCTGGGCATTGAACCAGAGCCTCATGGATGCTATGCAAGTGCTCTATTACTGAGCTATGCCCCTGCCTTAATACTCTTGAGGTATGTGGCCTTGGCTGAGGCCTACATCCTGGCTGTCTCTCTGAGCACATGTGTACACACATGTTCTTAAACACTCGCTTCTGTATGGTGTGGAGAGAATTTCTGGATCTGGAAGGAAGCTTTGGGATCACCTAGTTAGTGTTTGTTATTCTTGTTATGGGAACTACATCATACTCTGAGGTCATATGGCTTGTCCAAGGTCTTAGGGTGAGTGTGTGATGGAATGGAGGCTTGAGCCATTGTCCCGATTCCTTTCCAGTCTCTGTCCATGTCACCAGTTTGCCACATTGTATGTGTGGTACCTGTGGATATAGCTGATCTCCTGACCATTCTGCCACTTGATTTGCTGTGGCCATATTGAAAGGGTACTTCTGTTAATGAGTGTTTTCCCACATTATATTTTACTATTCCCCCCACCTCCATTGAACTCAGGACCTTGTGCTTACGAGGCAGGCATGATGCCACTGAGCTGCCTGTGCTTGGGTCTCAGCTCTGGGGATTTTGAGTTTCTACGTCTGGGTGGAGCTGGGGCGTAGGTCCAAGTATTTGAGTTTAAACAAAAAGGGTGAACCTGCTCTGCAGCCAGAGTTGGAAACCATGCTTATTAATCAGTGCCTTTTCATCCAGTTCTGTTTCCTGAGTAGCTGAGAAATTCCTATTTTCATTTCTTTTTTTCTTTTCCTCTAGCTGTTTGATGAGGAGAATCCAATACACAAATCTGGAACCAGGTACATGTTTACAACCGAGGGCCACGTTTTATCTGTGGACAAACGTCTTCGGGAATCACCCTGGAAGGAGTTCTTCTCTGAAGATGAAGAGCAGGAGCAGCAGGGAAAGTTTGTGCACAGGCCAAAATCTCAAGAGTTAAAAGTCATCAATTCCAGCTCCAATGTGAGTTGCTTTTTCCAGGGATGATGTGTGTGTAAAGGAAGAGAAGCACTATGGATGTCTTTGGCATTTAGTTTCTGACAGAAAATTGGTGTTATACTCAGACTGGGTAATTTGTAAAGGGTTCCATAAAGGGACCTGATATTGGCAGGATGTAGGCAAAACAGAGAGCAGTTACCTAATCACCTGGCTGTGGGGCATGATGGAGAGAGTTACCACAGCCACTTGGAGGAGTCATGCAGGAAGGATGACCACTGGCAGGAGCCACTACTTGGGTGTGGCTTCACAAATTGTGTAGGAAGGCAACTACCAGGGTCAAGACCTGATAGCAACCCCTTCCTCATTTTGATCTTTTTCTGGAGCTTCTTGGCTGTCCTCACCAGGAATCAGAGGACAAGGAAGTCTGTTGGTATAATCCTTGAAGGATGAGGGGGAGCTTCCTAATAGATGTTCAGGCAGAAGAGATGGCATTCATGAAAGTCTGAGGGAGTATGGAGTCTACGAAGAGCTGCCAGTCTTTATTTTGCTACCGAGGATCGAACTTGGGACCTTGTGCTTTTGAGGCAGGCAGCGGAACCACTGAGCTAAATCCCTAGCCCAGAGCTGCCAGTCTTGATCTTGCAGGGGATAAGGAGCAGGGCTGAGTGAGTTTGAGTGCATAGACATGGAAAAGAGTGTAATGAATGTATGTGGGCATCATTTCATTGGTTGATTCTCAAGGCCTACGTCTCCTACCAGTTGAAAATAAAGGCCTTGTGTGTGTGTGTGTTTTAAATGTGTATTATACAGGGAAATAAGATATGGCTGTGTCAAATGAAAAGTTAACCCAAAGGGTGATAAAGTCCCTGAGTCCCTGAGTAAAGTGGTTCCGAAAGCTTCTTAGAAAAGTCAGGCCTTAAAGGATGGAAAGGTTTCAGAAACATGGAAGAGAGAAAGAAATTCTTGGTAGAGTAAGTCATATGAAAGGAGGACCATAAAGAAATAAGTGGGTCTGAGGACAAGTAGAGCATGTGGATACCCAGACCCACACACACACACGCAACACCTTGCTGAGTGTCTCTTACAGCACAGTCTGTAACAAATTGTGTGCCTCTTTCCTGGGTTCATCTCCTGTCTGGGACAGAGCATGTGATACAAATGAATAAAGGCAGATATGGCTAGAGCCAGATATGGCAGTGTGGTGTGTCCAAGGAATGCCAGGCTATGGACATGCAGGTTGGGGTTGAAAAAGGGCACCATTCAGGCTGATTATGGGGGTGGAGGGTCCCCTGGAGGAGAGTGGATGCCCCAAAAAGGGCTTTAGGCATGGGACTCCAAGTCCCCTCTGCCTTCACTGTGACATTTTTAGATTCTAAGTGCCACATAGAGTTGTTTTTTTGTTTGTTTGTTCGGTTGGTTTTTTTGGTACTGGCGATCGAACTCTGTAGATTCTAACTAATGTAGGCCAAGTTCATCCTGTCCGGGACAGCAAGGCCCTTGGCCCACACCACTCTCCCGAGGACAGAAGGTGGCCGCTGAGTGAGTGACACAGTACACGTGAGAAGCACATGGTGGAAGCAAGTCAGCCCCCACATCCTTCCCCAACCTGGCCCCTGTAACTCCACTCCCTAAACCTGCTTCAGCCACATTCATATTCATATTCATATTCATCCTCGGTCATCAGCCTGTTTTCCTCTGCTGGTATGGCCTAGCATCCTGCAGCCTGTGATCTTGTCTCACTTATCCCTTCTGGACACCTCCCAGGTGACGTCATCTACCCCAGCTTTGGCCCCAAATCTCAGTCCTCAGCCCTTCACTCTCACCTGGGCTCCACATCCGGACTTCTGTGTGCATGGTGGAACTGGGTTCATTGCCTCTCCTAAACCAGCCCTTAAGCCTCCTATTTCATTTCAGTCAGTACCTCCCTCATCACTCCACCACCTGGAAGATGGCTCTGGCTCCTCCTCTCCCTGTGTCACACCAACCAGCCACAGGTCTTAGTCGCCTAAACCTCCTATAAAGCTCCAGAGTGAAAGAACGAATGAACCAGTGAGGGCAGGCGAGCGTGCTGGGAGTGGGGCCAGGCGGGGTGCGGGACAGAGTATTTGTAGCCACAGAGTGCTTCCCCAGGTGGGGCTCTTTATTTTTATAATTTTTAAATTTAATTTTATTTTTTTGAGATAGGGTTTCACTGCGTAGTTCAGGCTGGTCTTGAACTCACTGTGTAGCCCAGGCCAGCCTCAAACTCAGTGATCCTCCTGCCTCAGCTTTCCTAGTGTTGGGATTACAGGCATGTGCCACCACACCTAGCAAAAAGCCCTTTACTAAAAAGAAACTAGAACATAGAAAAACAATATCTGAGTAGTTTTAAGTAGCCAAGGGAGGTGGATTTTACCCCTGGCTGTCAAGTACTTTCTGTGAATATCTTTTAGCCTCCTTGGGTCTTTATTTTTCTGCCTGTAAAAAGCAAGGAGATTAAATTTCATCAGTCTTCAACCAGGGGTGATTTTGCTCCTCAAGGAACATTGGGTAGTGTCTGGAGAAGTTTTTTGGTTGTCACAACTGAAAGGTGGAATTGTCACTGGCCCCTAGGAGGAGAGGCCAGGGATGCTGCTGACTGACTATTCAGCCTTACATAGAATACCTTCTCCGAACAAAGAGTTATCTGTCCCAAAATGTCAGTAGTGGCTGCATTGAGAAACTGGATTAGGTCATCCAACCACTTTTCTAAGAGATGAATATATAGGTTTCTAATTTGAAATTTGTGTCTTTCTAGTGCAATCGTGTTCCTGACGAGAGGAGATACTCCCTGCCCTTAAAGAGCATCTACATGCGACAGATTGACCAGATGGTTGGCTTGGTTTGATCTGCTCTCCTTTCTCTGGCTTGTCATAAACCAAACCTAACTAGCTGAACCCAGACTACGTAAAAATCCAGTCTGAAGTGGAAGAAGCAGAAGTCTGGCCATCCATGATGGCATCCAGCTCCTCACCCACATCTAGTTAATTCTTGCATAATTTGTTGTTGTCTTTCTGTTCAATAAAATGCCCTATTTTTCTTAAGGATATAATTTGAAATGAGAAGGTACATGGATATTGGCTTTTGACATGCTCATGTTATTAAGTACAACAGATAAGAGCATCTTTAGATTGATATTCCCAGCTTCATATTTACAATACAAGTCTCTTCACTTAGCCAGCACTTGATCCTCTTGCTACATATTGCTACCTCTTTGTTAAAGGTTTGGGAATGAAATTTCTGTGCAAAGAGCCTGAGGTTCAATTGGTGTCCCTACTTTTTGCATTGAAAATGTCATCTTTTCTGTCTTATTGGATCATTGGGCTCTCTGCCAGGTATCTTAACTGTGATTTTTGGATCACATGAGGGGATAATTATCGATTTGTTCCTTTACATCCCAAGCAGTGTTCACAGTATTATAAATTATTTGCTTAAGAATAATTGTCCAACCAGAATTCTAACAGACAGTCTCTTAAGTTGTTATGTCATACTATGAGAGCTTATCTAACATCTTTTGGATGATATTTTGCTTTTATTTTGAACATGAACTTACTGACGAACTCCCACAGTTCCAGAACTAGGTGCCTTTTAAGGGAGAGAAAAGAAAAAAAAAAAAACAACCAACAAACAAAATCTAAGATTGTCTGAGCCTCTATCTTACATTTCCTAACTAAGAATTCTAAATGCTGACCATCTTTAGGTTGGTTAGAGTTTTGTTTGTTTTTGTCACTTGTGTCTAGTGCCAATTAGGTAATCAGGGAGAAAGAAATGATCAGATGATTTTCTGATATCCTTGAGCCATTTCTCTGTGTAATACAGGCTTTAGATTAGTGCCTTATGGGTTTTGATTTAGGCCATTAGCTATCACAGCCACTGCTATGTTTGTGGCAGTCTTCGTTTGTATTGCCATATAATGGGACTAACAGGGAAGGGGGGTGGCATGTGTGTTAATGTGGAACATTCTGGAAATTGCTTGATTGGTCTTTGTCTTTTTCTTTCTTTCTTTTTTTTTTTGTACTGGGGACCAAACTCATTTCTTTGTGCTTGCAGGGCAGGCAGCAGAACCACTGAGCTGAATCCCCGGCCTGTTTGCCTTTCAATATGTTATTTTAGCCAAGCCTACAGGAGGAAGTTGTGCTAAAATGTTTTCTTTCCTTTTTGTTGTTATATATATCCTTAACCAGAGCAGACAGCCATTTCTTTGAATTTAAACTGAGTGCTTATACACAATACAGCTGGCCTTGAGCCTGGCCTGGCTTCTGTGCAATATCACAGGTAGAAAGGTAACCCGATGCAAAGGGTAGAAGTCTCTTAAAAACTTCCAGCCTGATGTATGGTGTTTCCCTCCTGTCACTGTTTGCACACTTGTTTTTTAAAAACTAGAAATGAGTTTTAAGTCATTGTATTTTCAGTCAAAAGGGAAAAGTTCCTTCTTGAAAATTTAAGTGTTAACTCTTTTGAAAATAGATGTGTAATTCAGTTATTTTCAGTCTTTAAAAGAGGAATTTTCAGTAGTAAACATTACCTCTTTTTTAAAACATTTTCTATTCAATTTATTTTAAAGTAAAAATCGTGCTTCCATTTTACTTCATTTTAGAAGTACTCTTCTATCAATAGTGTTTCATCTACTGAACAATAGAAAACTTTCTTTGAGAATACTATTGAATGTCTTCATTAACTCAGTGAAAATGTTAAACACACACACACACGCATGCACACGCACCTGTACCTTGTCTCTAGGTAAGTTGAAGTGGGACTATGAGTGACCCACTTGGGAGAATGGGCCCTGCCAGGGAAAGTGAAGTCTTCTACCTTTGTTTTCTCTTTTAGCACCCTCCCCATTTCTCCAGCCTCTGCGGCAGCAGTAATGTGTCAGCATTCCAACATCACCCTCCTCATCTGGGCCCTTTACCTGTCATTCTACAGAAAGCTTGAACATTTCTTCCTGCTTTTGGAATGGAGATCTGTGCTTGGCAGCACCACTGTGCCTTGAGTGACAGGTTTCTAGGGCTACAGGCTGATGTGAAATAGTTCTGTATTAAGTCTGAAACCCTGTTGACCTCTGGGTACTGTACTTACACCAGTTGATGAGACTGAGGGTGAGTGAATTAACTATTAATCCTGGTTATTGACTTTACAGACTTCCCATGCTCAAGATTGATGCTACATAGTCAGTGATTTATGGGACTAGATATCAGAATGCTGTCTAGTACAGCCATTAAAAGAATGTTCTTTGAGCCAAGTTTGAAGCTTACTGTTTTCTTTTTGAAAATCAGAATGTCAGCAGCTGTGATGTATTTACAGGCTCCTGCTGTCTCTTCTATTCTATATTCTGAAATATTGGATAGGGGAGAGCCAAAGAGGAGAATGTCAGTGAAATCCCCTTGCTCAGTGCTTTACCCCAGGAATGTCTTGAATTTGAACAGACTACATTCTTTTTCAACAGCAGTGACACCAGACCATCCCTGTATTCCTCCAGTAGCTAGTTGTCTAGTGTCAGTGTTGGTCAATATTTTGTAAAACTGCTGTAGAAAACTGCCCTATAATGAGACATGGAGGAGTGCAATTCTCCCAAGACAAAGTTCTAAATCATTAGCTGCTTTAGACAATGTGATGGAGGAACTCAGGAAAGAGTAGGTGACAGAGGAGTGGTTTGCTAGCTCTGGTTGTGCTGGCCATTGTGAAAAACTGGCATGTTTTCAGAGCCTCCTTTCAGTTTCTTTCCAGCCTTTTTATGAGAGCTTGTTCTTGTAACTGAATTTCTAGGTTGTGCTGATGTCCTGGGCTTTTCTTGCCTGAACTGGGAATTGTCCATACGACACTTAGTTATTTTGAGAAAAATGCATCAGGATGGTATCTGTACAGATGAATGTTAGCTGAGAATCCATAGTTAACGGGTTTGAATATTGAGTTGTGCAATCTGAAGGCTTTGATTCCCTCTTCCTCACCCTTTCTTCCCTACAAAAGAAAAATGTCTGAACTATTTCTTAGCTCACTTCAGACTTAACATTAGACATTTCTTCTGGAGGGCTCCAGAGCTCTTTGTCTTCAACATGTTCAAATTTAGTGCTGCTTAGAAGGTAGGGCTGAGTGGTTACCTTAGCCACAAAGTGGCTGAGCAGGGACTTGAGAAGAAAGTCCTTTTGCTTTTCCATGCCCAGACATCCAGCTTCTACTCTAGTGCCTCTTCCCTGGCTGCAGGGCAGGGACCCCATGTGAGAAAAGGTGGGGCAGGCTGGGTTGTATTTCCCATTGTCAGGTTCAGGATTATGTTCCCACTTAATTTTGGATGTGAATCTGATAAAAATGTCAAGTACCTGTGGAATTCTCTGACTCACTACCCCCCTCTTTCTGAGAGGAAGAATATTTTTAAAAAGTATTTTTGTTTTAATTTTAAGTAGCAAAACAAGCTACATTTTTATTTATTATAAACAAGAAAAGTAATTGTTTTTACAAAAAATTTAGAGTTGGAAATTCTGGGAAAACTTACTGAAGTATACAAATGCTTCTCTGTAATGTGCAATATGCTTTGCTACTATAGATGATATTTTATGTTTAATCTGTAAATAAGAAATGTATTTAAATTAAAAGAGCTTTTTGTAAAATGACCAAATGTTCTTTTATAAATGTATTAAGGGATATCTTGCTCTTTGAAATTTATTAGGATTTTTATGGATAATTTTTATTAAAAGATTCTTTTTTTGAGTGGTCATTGTGTTTCTCCTTTTTATACTCATATATCCATATTACATGAAGGATGGGAAACAATCATTAAGGGAAACAAACTGTATGAATTCATTCTTTATTTTTTAACAGCCAAGCTTCCTTGTGGAATTCTACTCCATTTTCATCTGTCACACCCTTCCATTTAAATGTCTCACATGGGTGAGACTTTTTCTAGATATGGCCTGTTGCTTGCTTTCTATATGTCTTTTCTCCTGGGCACTGACTCCTCAAATTGTGTTGCCAGTTACCTGAGTATGTCTATGTTGTAGAACTGATACTCCACATTATCCTAAGCAAGGCACTTCATGTTCCTAAGCTCTTACAGGTTAAGATGGGGCAGTAGCAGCATGGGAAGCACTTGCCCAGGGGAAATGTGAGAGAAGAGAGAAGACTGGCCCTTTCCCTGTCCTGCCACCTGAGTCCTAATAAGATCTTGAAGGAGAGTGGATCCTGCCCCATGGCATCTCAGAATCCCAGGTTTGGGTCTTAGTTCTCATTGGCTTGTTTAATCCATTTCCTCTTTAGCAAAACTGCATTTTGTTGCCAACATTTATTTTCAGTGATCAAGAATTTATTTTTTAAATGGGAATAACCACTACTAAAATAATGCTATAAATAAAATGATGTCTGTTATTTCCAAAGCCTGTTGATATACTACAAGAATGACAATAAAATGAGGTAGTCGTCGTAAACTTCAGGGGTAAGAACAGGACTGTAATCCTTGATTGTCTTAGGATAAACACTGCAGTTGTGGGTGTTGCTGCAAATATTCTCAGGGCAAATGGGGAATTGGCTAAAGACTGAAATATCTCAGAGTGAAGGAGAGAGTCCCAAGATTAGAAGTATCTTCCTAATGTGCAAATGTTCTACTGTGTAAGGGATGGTGGCTGTGTGTGAAGTGGTATGGTTTTGTAACCATCTTAACAAAACCAAGCTGGCCCAAGTACTCTTGAGAGATCAGGAGAAGAGCCGTGCATATACTACCTTGGTACCTACCTGCCTTCTCCAGAATGCTTTGCCTCCATAGTGTGAAGAAATGTGCCCTTGGGCAGTGAGTGGAGCAGATTGTGTCAAGCCTGTAAGAGAGTGTCAGGGTTGAGACCAGGGTTGCTGGGCCCTCACCCCAGTTGTAGTTCTACATTGACTATTTGTGTGTCTTGAGCAAGTGACACAGTCTTAATGGCCTCAGTTTTCCTCTCATGAGGTAATAACTGTCCTTACTTAGCCTGGGCACAGTATCACACGCCTGTGATCCTCAGCTCATGAGGCTGAGGCAGGAGGATTGTAAGTTCAAGGCTAGCCTGGGCAATTTAAGACCCTGTCTTTAAAAAGAAAAAAAAGGCCAGGGATTTAGCTCAGTGGTTTTGCTGCCTGCTTCGCAAGCACAAGGACCAGAGTTTGATCCCCGGTACAATAAAAAAATAAAAAGAAAAAAAGGGTTGTGGATGTTGTTCTGTTGTAGACCATTCCTGGGTTCAGTCCCCTGTATTGGAAAAAAAATTCCATACTCAGGTTGATTATGAGCCTTGGAGTACATTCATATGCGTGAATTTCTTAGTGTTTCCCATAACAATGAGCAAGGTAGATTTGATTCCCAGCAAGTGCTGGTATCCTTAAAATGACCCTGGAAGAAGGGGTGAGTGTGGGATGGCCATGGAGAATCTTGGATGTATGGCTTGGGTCAAGGTTTTGTTTTGCTTTTTTGAGACAGTCTTGGTAGGCATCCCAAACTCACTCATCCCAATCACCTTGAACTTGTGATACTCCTGTCTGAGCTGCCGGAGTGCTGAACTAGGAGTGTGCCATTGCATCAAGGTGGTCATTTTCAGTTTCCTTGTTTGTAAAACCAGATTACTAGTGCCTTAACTCCCAGGGTTCTTGTGAGGGCAAAGTGAACTAGCAGTTACATTTTGCCAGTGCATTCAGGGAAGTGTGCTATTACTCTCCCCATCTCAGACACCCACATTGTGAGGTCAGAGTGCTTGGGGCAATACGAGGGCCCCAACACCTCAAACACCACCTTTCCAAGGTAGAGTTTTTCTGGTTATGGGGTACTCTTGGACGCTCTCTGAGGGATCAGGGCTGGCTGGGGTCCTTCAGTGTGAGTTAGATTTTTTTTTCTCACTGTACTGGGGATTGAATCCAGGAGACTGCATTGAACTACAGCCCCGTTTTTTTATTTTTGAGATAAGTTCTCACTAAGTTGCTGAGTTACCCACGTAGGGCCCAAATTTTCAATCCTGCCCCAGCCTCCCAGAATGTTACAGGTAATCAGATTTTTTTAAAAGCAAAATATTTACTGGTATATTTTAGATATACATAATGATAACACTCATCATAGGTAATTTGCACCTGTACATGATATGTCCTGCTCCTTTTTTTCCTGTTTACCTCCTCCCTGTAAACCCCTTCCCTCCCTATATGCAAAAGCTTTGTTTCTATTTTTTCCTTCTATTTTTACTTTTTTTTTTCTTCTCCCTTCCTATCTCCCTCCACTCTCCCTTGTTCCCCTTCCCATTTGAACATTTTCTTCCTAGGGTAATCAGATTCTCAAAGAAAACTGGTCTGATTATTTGACAAATTTAACAAATTTAACAAAATTAACAAAAAGTGTCTAAAAGGGAGCCAGTTCCCATTGTTAGAATACCCATCTGGAACATTTTGAATTGCTTTTTTGGTAAATAGTCAAAATAAATATTCAAAATAACACTCTAAGTTACTTTTTATGTTTTGGGTACTGGGGATTGAACCCGGGCTTTTTGCATGGTGAGCATGTACTGTACCATTGAGCTACAAACCCAGCACCTAATTACCTACTCTTAGATTTATTTGATTTTATTTTTGCATAATCCTGGGGATTGAACACAGAGCATTTTAATGTTAGGCAAACACTCTACCTCTGAGCTACTCCCTAGCCCTACTGAAATCTTAAAACCATTACAATTTATTATTCACCATTGTCTATTAGAATGTATTTTAACAAATTCTTATTAGTTTGCAATTTTAGAATTTTTTTGTCCTCAAATTGGTATTTTCTCTCCAACTGCAGTATTTCACATTGTTTTAGTATATGACCATCTTATGAAGTCTTATCCATCCAAACATACTGTGTCACTAAAATGTACAGTTTGACAAATATGTTTTAACAATTTTTCTATGATCATAGGGCTCTTAAAAAGTCTTCAGGGTGAGCTAACATTACAGTAAGTATAGAAACAGTGTAATATATACTTGATAATTTTAACAAAAATATGTATTGAAAAATTTTTCTCTCATTAAACAATAGCCACACTTTCTCTAGTTTACTTGTGTCTGTGGATAAATATTTCTGCAGTACTACTGATGAGAATGCAAACCTGAACCACTTTGGTGAAGAGTTTGGCATCACTCCAAAACTGAACTGCAACTGCCCTGTCACCCGGCAGCTGGGCTGTGTACGGCATCACAGTAGAATGGCCCTAGTGCTTCTACTCCAGAGCAAGTCATCTTAGCCAGGAGTCAATAGCAAACTATGGACTGCAGTGCAAATCTGGGCAGTACTTGTTTTTGTTTTGTTAAATAAAGTTTTATTACAGCACAGTCTTGGTTTTTTGTTTATATATTACAGTCTATGTTTGCTTTTGTGCTGCACCAGTAGAAACTGGTCTCTGGTTGTGGCTCTTTAAAGAAGAAACTCACAGGGCTGGGAATTTAGCTCAGTGGTTCTGCTGCCTGCCTTGCAAGCAGAAGGACCCAAGTTTGATGCCCGGTACCAACAAAAAACAATAAAATATATGAAAATTAAAAAAAAATTCAGTTATTCTAGAAGATGATCAGGTGACACAAGCACTGTTCATAACAGCACTGTCAAAGCAAAAAACAAAAACGCAAAACAACAAAACAAATCCCTCTCGGCCTCCCAAAAGAAAAACTATCTAAATGTCCATCAAAAGTCCTGGGATTCTTAAATTGGAACGGAAAAGAGAGGAGAGCAATGAGTCCACTTATAGATAGTTCAAAAGCAACCAAATTAAATTCCTTGTCTAGAGATATAAACGTGAGGAAAATTGTAAATTTTTAAAAAGATTATCATAAAAGTAGAGGGATGCTGTAACATGATTTTCTGTTGCCCCTGTGTCCATTTTGAATTCAAGATTCACTTCCTCATACCGGAAGCAGGGCTAGGTCACCCTGGATATGGTTTCCAGTTCTGGACTATACCCACATGGTGCAAGCCAGTGGACAGAGAGAGAGGAAATCAGACGCATCTCTTCTCCCAGCTGATTGGGCTCTTTGCTTTCCCGCCATTTCTCTACACCTGTTGCTCGTCCCACCCCCCCATTTTTGCGCCTGCGCATATGTGATCCAGGACTGAGGGCTGCTCTGTTCCTTGCGTTCTCCCTGACCAAGTCCTGTAAGTGAAAATTACCTCATTCCTCGTGTGGTGGTGCTTTGTATTTATGTTTTCCACCTGAAAAACCAGGGGCTCCCCAAAGTCGGTTTTTCCCTCAAGGTTGGGAGAACTGAGTTGGGCTCCCAATGCCAGAGCAACGGTTGAAGACCTGGATCAGACAAGATCCACCGAGGTGTCTGCCAGTGCAAACAAGGCTCTGCGTGGACCTCCTAGTCCCTCGTGAGGCTGTCCCTCAGGCAGAAGTCTCATGTGCAAGGGTTGATGTGAATACCCACAGCCAGCTCTCTTCAGGGTGGGGTTGTAACCTGCTTTGGTACTGGAACCCTAGTTTAGCTGGGCGCTCTCAAACAAGGGCATTCCTGGACAGGATGTGATTGTGGAGAGGCACATGAAGGAAGGTGCTGACTGTTGATAGAAGGTTCTGGTCACGTTTTTTCTTACCTCTGTGGTTGTTATATTCTATTTTTATTCCTTCTTTGATACACATGTTTTAGGTGTTCCTCAGTGCCTGTTATCCACTAAAGGCTTGTGACACTGAAGGGGTCTGAGAACTGGCTCACCCTCATTCTATTTTGTGAGAAAAAAATGAAGTC